TCTCTGTACTCTCTTTCAGCTCAATTGTCCAGAAGTTCCCTGTCAAACGCATGGAGGACAGTGCTGCCTCTGATCCTCACTCTGGCAGGGCTTGTCACAGCTGGAGCCACCTGTCTCTACCAGAAATGTCAGAAAGACAGGAATATGGGGCAGCTGGAAGAAGAGAGACTGTATAGAGCAGAGGAGCAGCACTCCCAAGGTAAGCAGGTCCTGGTAGGACGGACATGTCCTTTTCCCCCAGGGCACAGGTGTGGAGCTCTGCATGAACCTTCCTATGTGCACCCTCTTGGTCAGGATGAATGGGAGAGACCAGCCCAGGACACACCTCACGGACTCCCCACTTACCAAATGCTCAGTGAAGTTCTCTGTCTCTGAGAGGTGTTCAGCTGCTCACCACTGGAGGACTTCTGGAAGGCTGGAGGATTTCCAACACAAAGACAGATCTGAGCTTGAACCTGGGAGTGTCTGTCAGTTGGGAGTGATGAGAGCATTCTGAGAAGTGCTCAAGTGACAAATGCAGCAGGGTACCTGGCACCTGCCAGGGTCTCATTGTGGGTGCAGGGACTATCATCAATAAGCATTGCTGCACTCACCAATCCACTCCCTTCCCTGCCCCCTGTGTCCTTACCCATAGCCATCAGGCACGAGCCTGGGAGCAGAGCACAGATGTCCCCATGACAGACATGGGAAAGCAGGGCTATCAGGATCTGCTCCACCAAGCCTCCCCTAGGAAGAAAATGACCCAGATTATTGTTTTATTGGGCACTGAAGAATCTGTATTTCTTCATGCTTTCTAGGATCACAGCTAGAACCCATTAAGTCCTGTTTTGACTTAGGTTCCCAGAAGTTGAGCTTTGGCCCCATTGAATCAGCACAGTCCCACAGTTTCACATCTTTCTCTCTCATTGCAGGCTGGACAGAGGACAAGGTGATCTATGGTGAGGGCCATGTCGGGGGCTGGAAACCTCTGCCCCCACATGTGTGTCTATGTGTGCATGTATGTGTGTGTTGTGTGCACATGTTGTACATTTACATGCACACATGTGTGTTGATCTGTGCACATATGCATGCTTGCAGAGGCATTGCTGTGTGTGTGTGTGTGTGTGTGTGTGTGTGTATTCCTTTTCATTCCAGAGTGCAGATGTGTGGAGCCCAATGCTGGTGAGTGGCAGCCACATGGCTCTAAACATCAATTTTCTGCTGCCCTGAGAGACCTCAGCTCCTGTTTACTACCTGGGGAAGAGACAGACCTGCAGAGCCTAGGCAACAAGAAAGACAACTCTCCTGAGGCATGGCCACTTGTTGGGGGATTGGGAGACACCAATCTATTACCATAGAGATAGCAGAAACAGGGACTTTCTGCCCCAGGACACCATCTAGGTGGGAGGGATGGATGGAGAGGGGAGAATCTCGCCCAGGTCAGGGAACCCCAGGACTGGGAGGGGCATAAATGCAGACAATGGACCAGGAACCCGAGAGGTGTCAGAGAACCTGGGGACACAAGCCTTAGCACAGCCACTTGTTGAGGGTCTAGGAGGGGACAGAGAGAAACTGATCATCATTTCATTCATTCACTTATCCATTCATGTACAATAGTGACCAGTTACCTCCTGTGCCAGCATCCAACCATCTATCAGTGATTGAAATGACTTCCTCCTGTCCTCAGGGGGCATAGAATCTATGTGGGGATGCAAGCCATCAGTCAGTGATGCTTCTTTAACCAAAACTGGAATAAAGCAGAGTAATATTATAGGAATGGACTAGAATACAATAATGAAGTTGGCCAGGAGAGCATTCATGTAGGATGTCCATGGCCCTGGGGATGGTGGGATGGTAATATCTAAATGAAGGGCTGGGTGACAGTGGGACCACAGCCCTGAAAGAATGAGCTGTGGACCCACAAACATGGCAGGGAGAATGTCATCTGTGGTGTGGGAAAGATGAACATGTGGAAGAGAATCCAATGGGGCAAGATTTGTGGATGCCCAGACCCGCAGAGCCTGGAAGGCTGAAGTAGGGGTCTGGGTGCAACATGAGTGGGGGAGCTTAGACAGGGGAGAGGCATTGGTGGAGGAGAGGACAACCCTGAGATGTGCCCGGAGGCCACAAATAGCAGGGTCCAGCAGGGCAAGACAGAACAAGGAACCCAAGGTGACCTTTGGAGCCAATGTCCCTGGGTCTATGGTGGCTTCATCTAACAGAAGGCTTGGGACCAAACAAGACAGATTTAGGTCAAATAAGTGAAAATCATCTTGGACCTCTTAAGACTGAAACTTTATCAGACATCCAAATGGGGATGTCAGATAAATCTTTAGTTACACAGGTCTGGAACTCCCAGGAGAAATGTGGTTTTGAGACAGGAATTTAAGGTCCTTGGCATATATCTGGCCTTGAAAACCAAGGAAGTGAACCAGGAAGTGCTCCATTTATCTGCACGCCCAAAATTATTCTTTAAATTTCTTTATTTGAAAAAGAAAGATTTTAAAAAGAAAAAAAAGTAAGACAGGTACAGGGCAAAGAAGACAGATTCAAGTCTAGCCTTGGAGAACCTGGTACTTGAAGGTCTGTTTGAGCAGGAGTCTGGGCAGACTTGTGGGAAGTCCAGGGGAAGCTTTTTCACTGAAAACTGTGGATACAGTGTGGTGAGTAAGCAGCTTGTGGCATTCCATACAGTGAGATAAGATCAGGAACATGACCCAGAAACATTGTCTAGTGTGGTGTGCAAGGAGAGGTGTCCCCTGTGGAGGCAGCTGGGACAAAAATTTCAAAATTATAGTCTGTGCAGCTAAGCTGTAAATTGGTAAGTGGGGAATCAAGCAGAGTGTTTTATTTCGGTTTATTTTGGTTTTACTTTAAGGTCCTTTAAGGTAGCAGAACATGCCTGTTGCCTAAAAAGAATGATCTGGTATGAAGACACATGAAGCCAGCAGGGGGAAAGAAAAGGAACTAAAGAAAAATTGTTCAGGGAATATAGTCTGCAGCGGTGGATAGGATGGAACGCAAGTCTGCACTGGCAGCCAGGTGTGGTGGGGTGGTGTGTCAGAGGTCATTATTGAGTAGTTTTGTATCAATGTTAATTTTCTGGTTTTGATCCTTTTACTGTGTGTTTTCCAAGATGTTTTCATAGACATATTATTTATACTATTTTTCAGCTTCTTTGTTAGTCTGGAACTTTTTTTTAATGTGATTAATTTTTATTTAATGATGAGGAAATTTGGAATACCAGAAGCCAGGCTTATTGTTCAGCTAGGGAGTCCATGTTTGACCATTATGGAGATAGAACATGGGTGATCTCCATCCCCACAGCCCAAACTCTACAGGGAAAGGATTTGGGTGGGACATAAGGTGGAGAATTCAGAAAGCAGCTATGAGAATTCTGGGGGAGAACAGTCAGTCTTTGCTGGAAAGCGAAAGAGAACAGGGTTCTATCCAGAAAGAGGTAGAGACCAGAGAGGAAGCTGGGGTTCAAATAGGAGGAAAGCATGGGTCCTGTCCAGATGATACGGATGGAAGGTCAAGAAACATGAGTGTCTGAGGTATCGAGGTATAGACCCAAGCAAACAACATACCTGGCTTTAGAATGTATCAAGGTGGACACTGGCCAAGAGGTTTCTGTTATTGAGAAGATGCCTGCTGGGGCAGCCTGGTGCCCAGCTGGTCCCCACACACCCTCTCTGCCTCTAATATGGAGCCCAAGTGTAGACAGACCCTTCCCCAGGTCACATGCTGGGGTTCTGAGGGCTCTGAGAGGGAAGGTAGGGCAGGAGAGAAGGACTCTGTTTTGGAAGGTGTTCATCTTAGCTGTGGGGCTCTTAAGATGCCTCTTGGGCTTTTCCTTATGTGACTCCTCTGTCGTTGACCCCAGAGCTGTCCAATGGCACTTGCATCAATGTACCTGTGGCACCTTCTCCTGTCCCCCTATGTCCTCCATGTCCTCTTATGTCTCTATCTCTGTCTCTGTCTCTCCATCTTGCTCATTGTGTCTCTCTCTGTGTCTCTCTGTCTTTCTCTTTGTGTCTTTCTCTCTGTCTCTCTGTCTCCCCATCTCTCTGTCTTTCTCTCTCTCTCTCTATTTCTCTGCCTGTATCTCTATCTCTCTTTATCTCTCTATTTATCTCCCAGTCTCTGTTTCTGTCTCCTTCTCTGTCTCTCTGTCTCTCTCTATTTCTCTCCATATGTCTCTGTATCTATCTCTCTTTGTTTCTGTCTCTCTGTCTCTGTATCTCTCTCCCTGTGTCTACCTGGGTTATTCTGTCTCTCTTTGTTCTCCTTGTCTCTCTGTCTCTTTCTGTCTCCCTGTTTCTCTGTGTCTCTTCTATGTCTCTCTCTTCCTTTCTCTACCTCTGTCTCTGTTTTTCCCTATATTTCTGGGATACTGTCTCTATCTCTATCTCTCCCTTATGTCTCTCTGGCCTTTTCTCTGTCTCTCCTTGCTTCTGTCTCTCTCTCTCTCTCTCTCTCTCTCTCTCGTCTCCCTGTCTACCTCTCTCTCTCTCTTTCTCACGCACACACATACACATACAAACAAACACACACATGTGTTGAGGGACTGTGAACAGGGGGACAAGCAGACCTCACAGGGTGTCAGTCATGTCCACTCATTGGTAGCAATCCACCCCCTGGCTCCCACCTGGAACTGCCTCAGTTGTTCTGGGATGACCTGTTGCTCAGGGTCCTGGACAGAAGATGGGGGGAGCCAAGGGACTCTCAGGGAGGCTGTGGTTTTACCTCACCCAGAGGTCTTGTGGTCCCCTTCTTACAGGAGGGCAGGTTGGGGACACAAACCCCCAAGCCTAAACCTCTCCTCTTCCCACAGTGAGCCCATCCCTGGACCCTGATACTGCAAGCCCAAAACTCGCTCTGTCTGAGGATGGGAAGAGTGTGAGGCGGCTGTTCTTTGACCAGGAGCTGCCAGATGTCCCCAGCAGATTTGACAAGGACCCCTGTGTATTGGCACAGGAACAGTTCTCTGCTGGGAGGTATTATTGGGAGGTCCAGGTGGGACAGAGGAAGGCCTGGAATGTGGGCGTCTGTCTGGAGAGCTTGGATCGGAAAGGAAGGATCCCAAAGGCTCCCCAGCATGGACTCTGGGCCCTGGAGCTCTACAAGAAGACATTCTGGGCCCTCGCTTTCCCAAGGGTCCACCTGCACCCTTCAGAGCCCCTACATCAGGTGGGTATTCTCCTGGACTATGATGCTGGCAGAGTCTCCTTCTACAACGTTGGCAATGGATCCCTCATCTACTCATTCTCTGGACTCTCCTTCTCAGAGCCCCTGAGGCCATTCTTCTGCCTCTGGACACACGACCCTATCCCCCTGATCATCTACTTAGAATGCCAGCTCCCCGAGGCCATGGGCCCTCCTCAGAGCCAAGGACAGGAGAGGGTGGGGACCCTCCTCCAACAAGACCCATGATCTCTTTGCTCTAGCCTGTCATAGATTTGGGGGAGACATGTCCATTCTACATGCCAGCTAGACCTATACAAAAGTGCATCTTTCTGAGTTATACTGTCTTATCTTCATTTTCCTTCCCTGTGGAATACTGACAATATATTATGGGCTGAATCATACACTCTCAAATGTACATTCTGAAGCCCCAATGCCCCTGATCTCCAGATGGGGCTGTATTTGGAGATGGAGTCTTTACAGAAGTGGTTAAGGTAAAAACTGGTCACTAGGGTGGGTCCTGATCCTGCATGATTGGAATCCTTATCAGAAGAGGGGGTCAGAGGTGCTTGGGTGGCTCAGCCACTTAAGCATCTGCTTTCACCTCAGGTCATGTTCCCAGAGAAGTCCCACATCAAGCTCCTTGCTAGGCAGGGATGCTGCTTCTCCCTATGCCCCTGTCCCTGCTTTCTTTGTATCTCTGTCAAATAAATAAATAAAAATCTTTTAAAAAAAGAAGAAGAGGAGGAGGAGGAGGAGATCAAGGCACAGACACACACAGGTGGACGACTGCATGAAGACACAGTGGTGAGACTGCATGTACATGTCAGGGAGAGACATATCAGGAGGAACCAGCCCCACCCACACCTGGATCTGGGACCTCCAGTCCCCAGGACTGGGACACAATAAACGTGTGTTGTTTAAACTCCCAGCCTGTTATTTGTTACAGAGCCCAAGCTGACCAGGGCACTATATTGTTATACACAGTGGGGCGCTTTTCTGAAATGTACTTGGGGTCAGTTACAAAGCATTGAGCCCAGTACCAGACACAAAATATTTGCTCAGTAAATGCCGGCCTTCATTATCCTCTCCTCCCCTCTCTTTCCCTTCCTTCTGCCTTCCCTTCCTTCCCCTTTCCCTCCCCATTGCTCCTTCCTTACTCTCCAATCCCTCCTTACTCTCCTCCTTCTCTCCCCATCCTCCCTGTCTCTCCCTCCTTCTCTCTCGACCTTCGCCTCTTCCCCTCTACCCTCCCCCATGCACTTTCCCCTCCTCCAACCCTTCCTTACCCTCCTACTTCTCTCCCCCATTCTCTCCTTCCTCATGTCCCCTCCACCTACCTTCCCTTCCTACTCCCTTTATCCTCTACCCTCTCCTACCTTCCCACTCTTATCTACTCACACCTCCTTCTCCCTCTCCATCCCCCTTGCAACAGCTTGGAAATCTGGTCTACCTTGGTACCCCCCCATTTCCCCCCTCACCATGGCAAGTCAGTGCAGAGCTACATGGAGACCAATCCAAAGATTCCAGGGTTTCCCTGGTCAGTCATGGAAGCAAATTAAAGTGCAAACATGACAGTCCAAACCCTCTGGAATGAGAGACCTAAGAAAAGTCCTAGAAGCAGCTCAAAACAAGAAGTCCTTAACCTACAAAGGCTGGAACATTATACTGGCAGCAGACCAATGCAGGGAAAACTGGCAGGCCAGAAATGGTTGGTATGATATATTCAGGGCAATAAATGAAAAAAAAATGCAGCAAATATACTTTATCCAAGAAGGCTGTCATTCAGAATGGAAGGAGAGATAAAGAGCTTCTAGGACAAACAGAAACTAAAAGAATTTGTGATCACTAAACCAGCCCTGCAATAATATTAAAGGGGATCCTGTAAGCAGAGAGCCCAAAAGTAACTCAGACCAGAAAGAAACAATCTACAGAAACAGGGAATTTACAGGTAATACTACAGCACTAAACTCATCTTTCAATAGTTTCTCTGAATGTAAATGAGCTAAATGCTCCTGTGAAAAGATGCAGGGTTTCAGATTGGAATTAAAAAAGAAAAAAAAAAAAAGCAAGAACCATCAACATGCTGTCTGAAAGAGACTCATTTTAGACCCAAAGACACCTCCAGATTTAAAGTGAGGGGGTGGGGGCGCCTGGGTGGCTTAGTGGGTTAAAGCCTCTACCTTTGGCTCAGGTCATGATCCCAGGGTCCTGGGATCAAGCCCTGCATTGGGCTCTCTGCTCAGCAGGGAGCCCGCTTCCTCCTCTCTCTCTACCTGCCTCTCTGCCTACTTGTGATCTCCATCTGTCAAATAAATAAATAAAATCTTTTTTTTAAGTGAGGGGGCGAGCATTTATCATGCTAATGAACATCGAAGAAAGCTGAGGTAGCAATCCTTATATGAGACAAATTAGATTTTAAGCCAAAGACTGTAGTAAGAGATGAAGAGGGACACTATATCATACATAAAGAGTCTATCCTATAGAAGATCTAACAATTATAAATATTTATGTCCCCAACTTGGGACCAACCAATTATATAAACCAATTAATAACAGAAATAAAGAAACACATTCATAATAATACAATAATACTAGGGGACTTTAACACCCTACTCACAGCAATAGACAGATAATCTAAGCAGATCAACAAGGAAACAAGGGCTTTGAATGGCACACTGGACCAGATGAACTTCACAGGTATATGCAGAATACCCCATCCTAAAGCAACGGAATACAGATTCTTCTGGAGTACATATGGAATATTCTTCAGAATAGATCACATACTGGGTCACAAATCAGATCTCAACCAGTACAAAAACAGATTGGAATTATTACCTGCATATTTTCAGACCATAATGCTTTGAAACTTGAACTCAATCACAGAAGGAAATTTAGAAGGAATTCAAATACTTGGAGGTTAAAGAGCATCTTGCTAACGAATGAATGGATCAACCAGGAAATTAAAGATGAATTGAAAACATTCATGGAAACAATGAAAATGAAAACACAGCTCTTCAAAGCCTTTGAGATGCAGCAAAAGCGGTCCTAAGAGGAAAAACATGGCAATACAAGACTTCAAGAAATTATAAAGGTCTTAAATACTCAAGGTAACCTTACACCTGAAGGATCTGGAGAAAGAACAGTAAATAAATCCTAAACCAAGGAGGAGAAGAGAAATAATAAAGATTACAGCAGAAATCAATGAAAGAGAAACTGGAAGAACAGTAGAACAGATCAGTGAAACTAGGAGCTGGTTCTTTGAAAGAATTAATAACATTGATAAACCAGTAACCAGACTTAATCAAAAAGAAAAGAGAAAGGACCCAAATTAATAAAAACATGAATGAAAGAGGAGAGATCATGACCAACACCAAGGAAATGTAAATAATTTTAAAAACATATACTGAGCAAGATATGCCAAGAAATTAGGCAATCTGAAAGAAATGGATGCCTTCCTGGAATCTTATAAACTTCCAAGACTGAAACCAGAAGAAATGGAACCTGGACAGCCCAAAACCAGCAAGGAAATTGAAACAGTAATCCAAAACTTCCCAAAAAAACAAGAGTCCAGGGCCAGATGGAAGAAGAAAGAAGAAATGGAAGGGAAACTTCCAAACTCATTGTATGAGACCAGCATTACCTTGATCCCAAAACTAAAGACCCCACCAGAAAGGAGAATGACAGATCAATATCCCTGATGAACATGGATGCCCAGTTACTTACCAAGATCTTAGCCAATAGGATCCAACAGTACTTTAAAATGATTATTCACCATGACCAACTGGGATTTATTCCTGGGATACAAGAGTGGTTCAACACCCACAAATCAATCAATGTGGTAGATCACATTAATAAAAGGAAGGACAAGAACCGTATGATCCTCTCAATTGATGCATAAAAAGCATTTGACAAAATACAGCATCTTTTCTCAATTAAAACTCTCCACCATGTAGGGATAGAGGGGACATACATCAATATCATAAAGGACATCTACAAAAAGCCCACAGCAAACATTATTCTCAATGAGGAAAAAACTGGGAACTTTTTCCTTAAGGTCAGAACCATGACAGGGATGCCCTCTCTTGCCACTATTGTTCAACATAGTACTAAAAGTTCTAGCCTCAGCAAACAGAAAACAAAAAAGAAATAAAATGCTTTTGAATTGGCAATGAAGAAGTCAAACTCTCTCTCTTCACAGATGACATGATACTTTATGTGGAAAACCCAAAAGACTCCACCCAAAAATTACTAGAACTCATGCAGGAAATCAGCAATATGGCAGGATACAAGATCAATGAACAGAAATCAGTTGCTTTTCTATACACTAACAATGTAACTGAAGAAAGAGAAATTAAGGAAACAAACCCATTTACAATTGCACCAAAAATCATAAGATACCTAGGAAAATAAACCTGATCAATGACGTAAAAGAACTGTACTCTATAAACTACAGAACACTTACAAGAGAAATTGAGGAAGACACGAAGAGATGGAAAAATATTCCATGATCAAGGATTGGAAGAAGAAATATTGTCTATGCTACTCAAAGCAATCTACACGTTCAATTAAATCCCTATAAAAATACCATTGACATTTTCACAGAGCTGGAACAAACAATCATAAAATATGTATGGAACCAGAAAGACCCCAAATTTCCTGGGCAATGTTGAAAAAGAAAACCAAAGAGGATGGCATCACAATTCCAGACTTCAAGCTCTATTAAGATGTAATCACCAAGACAACATGGTACTGGCACAAAAACAAGCACATAGATGGAACAGAATAAAGACCCCAGAAATGGACCCTCAACTCTATGGTCAACTAATCTTCAACAAAGCAGGGAAGAATATCCAATTTTATTTAAAAAACAAAAAAAGATAGTCTCTTCAATAAATAGTGTCAGGGAAATTGGATAGTCAGAAGCAAAGGATGCAACGGGAACATTCTCTTACACCATACACAAAGATAAACTCAAAATGGATGAAAGACTTCAATGTGAGACAGGAATCTACCAAAATCCTAGAGTGGAGGGTTGCCTGGGTGGCTCAGTTGTTAAGCATCTGCCTTCAACTCAGGTCATGATCCCGGGGTCCTGGGATCGAGCCCCGCATCCGGCTCCCTGCTCAGCAGGAAGCTTGTTTCTCTCTTCCCCACTCCTCCTGCTTGTGTTCCCACTCTCGCTGTCTCTCTCTCTCCATCAAATAAATAAAGAAAATATTTTTAAGAAAATCCTAGAGGGGAACACAGGAAATAACCTCTTTGACCTTGGCCACAGCAACTTCTTGCTAGACATGTCTCCAAAGGCAGGGGGAAACAAAGAAAAAACATGAACTATTGGGACTTCTTCAAGATAAAAAGCTTATGCACAGCAGTCAGCTAAACTAAAAGACAGCCCATGGAATGGAAGAAGATATTTGAAA